TGAACTTCACATAAATGGGATCATGCAGTACAATCTTTTGTGTCTGGCTTCTTTTGTTCAACATAATGTTTGAAATTCATCAACATTGTTGTGATATTACTGGTCCATTCCTTTAATAAGCAGCATTCCTTTTTATGAAAATGCCATTTATTTATCCACTTGCTACTAAAGGACATCTGAGTTTTTTGATGTTTTGCTAATGTGAGTAATGTTGCAATGAACATTTTTATACAAATATTGCTTTGGGAGTATATATGTTTACATTTCTTTGCAGTAAACACACAGGCATGACATCGCTGGATGATAAGGTTCATGTATATTTAACTATACAAACTGCCATTTTTCCACAGTAATTGCGATTGTCCATTTCTTTTTTTTAAAGATTTTATTATTTATTTATACAAGAACCGGGGTACAGGTGAGATGCACGGGAGGGTGAGAGGACTCACCAGAGACAGAGCAGGGAACAGAACAGGCAGACTGATGAAATACACTGCTGAGGGGAGCAGCGGCTGAGACAGGAGAGGTCTGTCTCGCCATGTGGGCTTCTCGCTGGCCAGCTGGATCGAACCCGCACTGCAGAGGCTGCGGACAGCTTCAAAGCGCTGCACTCAACCACCTGCGCCACCAGGGAGGCCCATGATTGTACATTTCTATGAACAACATAGTGATTCAGTGGCTCCACTTCCTTACCAACACTTGGAGTTGTCCATCTCTTAAACTTTAACCATTCAGTGGGTGTGAAGTGGTGCCTCAGTTTGTGATTAGCCTTTTTCATTTTCTAACAGTGTCTGTACATGGGCCAAAGTTTTAATTTTAATAGAGTATAGTTTATTATTTTTACTTTATTTTTGTTGTGTTTAGCATTCTGCTTTCTCAGATTGCAAAAATACCCTCCTATATTTTCTTTTAGAAAATTTGTAATTTTTGCTTTTACAATTAGGCTTATCATTTCTTTTTATTTTATTTTATTTTTTATTTTTTTATAATAAATTTTATTTTTATATTCCCCATACAATTGCAACCCCCCATTCTGACCCCAATCCCTCCCCTCCCGCCCCCCACCCCCAAAAAGTGTCTCTGGTTCATAGTTTTTTGTTGATTTTGATTTTCACTTTCTTATAGTTATTCATTTTCCTGGTCCCTTATTTAAGTTTTCTAGATTCCTGCTATGAGTGAGACCATCCGGTATTTTTCTTTTTCTTTCTGGCTTATTTCGCTGAGCATAATCCCTTCCAGCACCATCCATGTTGCTGCAAATGGCATGTGTTTATCTTTTTTGAATGCTGAGTAATATTCCATGGTGTATATGGACCACATCTTCTTGATCCAGTCATCTATTTTTGGGCATTTGGGCTGTTTCCAAAGCTTAGCTATTGTAAATAGTGCTGCTATAAACATAGGGGTGCAGGTGCTCTTTGGAATTGATGTTTCTGTGTCCTTTGGGTAAATACCTAGGAGTGGAATTGCTGGATCATATGGAAGCTCTATGTTTAGTAGGTCCAGAAATCTCCACACAGCTCTCCACAGTGGTTGGACCAGTTTGCACTCCCACCAACAGTGCAGAAGAGTTCCTTTTTCTCCACACCCTCGCCAACATTTGCTGTTGCTAGTTTTTTTAATATGTGCCATTCTCACTGGTGTAAGATGGTATCTCATGGTAGTTTTGATTTGCATTTCCCTGATGACAAGTGATGTTGAACATTTTTTCATATGTCTGTTGGCCATTTCCATTTCCTCTTCAGAGAAGTTTCTTTTTAGCTCTTCTGCCCATTTTTTGACTGGGTTATTTTCTTTGTTGTTGTTGAGTCTCATCAGCTCTTTGCAGATTTTTGTGATCAATCCTTTATCATTAGTGTTGGATGCAAAAATGTTCTCCCAGTCAGTGGGGTTTCTCTTTGTTTTTGTTATTGTCTCTTTTGCTGTGCAGAAGCTCTTTAATTTGATGTAGTCCCAGCTGTTTATCTTTGCCTTCACTATCACTGCTTTGGGTGATGTATCTGTAAAGATGTCTTTGATGTGCAAATCACGTAGTGTTTTGCCTATATTTCCTTCTATATATTTTATGGTTTCAGGTCTTATGTCTAGTTCTTTAATCCATTTTGAGTTGATTTTTGGGTATGGTGTGAGGTAGTGGTCAAGCTTCATTCTTTTGCATGTAGTGACCCAGTTTTCCCAGCACCATTTATTGAACAAACTTTCTTTGCTCCAATGCATAGTCTTTGCTCCTTTGTCAAAGATTAGTTGACCATAAATCTGTGGGTTTATTTCTGGATTTTCTTAGGCTTATCATTTCTTTCAAGTTATTTGTTGTGAACATTTGAGCCATGGGTCAAGGCATATGTATTTGTGTGTGTGTGTGTGTGTGTGTATGTCTATATAACATATACATATATGTTACTTATATATGGACATCCAGTTGCTCTAACACCATCTTCTTTTCCCTCACTGTCCTAAGCATTCATCAGAAAGCATTCATACATTTATGGATTTATTTTTATTGTTTCATCATTAAGTAAAATGTTAGTTGTAGCATTTTCATAGACAACTTTATTTGATTGTGAAATATGCTTTCTTGTGAATGGAGGTTGGATTTTGTTAAATGCTTTTTCTGTATCTTTTGGGGTGACCATGTGATTTTCTTCTTTATTATACTGACATGGCAAATTACATTGGTTTGCTTTTTGTATGTTAAACCAATTTTGCATTTCCAGGATAAGCCCCACTTATTCATTATGAATTATCTTTTTAAAATATATTGACAGATTATAATTACCAATACATTGAAAAGCTCTGTGTTGAATGAGCTTTTTTCATTTTTAACATTTTGTGGGATTGCAGTAACTCCATCCATGTCATGAGTTTTTCTTGCTTTTTAAATAGGAAGGTTTTTAGTTATGAATTTAATTCCTTAGCAAACTTAGAGTTATTCAGATGGTCTAGCTTTTTGTGTGAGTCAGTGTTGGAAAATTGTGGCTTTTCAATAAAACTGCCCATTTAAGCTGAATTGTCGTATTTGTTGGCATACATTTTTCATAATTTTTTAATTATTTTAATGGAATGTAAAGGTCTATGGAGATCTCCCCCTTGCATTTTTAGTGTTGGTTACTAGTCTTTGGGCTTTTTTCTTTTTTATGTGATCATTCTTGTTAGGAATTATGAATATTATTAATCTTTTCAAAGAACTAGATTTTGACTTTGTGGGTATTCTCTGTTAGTTTGTCCTACTTTGCTGATTTTTATGCACTTATCATTTTCTTTCCCCTACTCCATTAGAATTGACTTTGCTCTTCTTTTTCTAGCTTCTTATAGTACAAGCTTAAGTAACCGACTTAAACCCCCTTAGTTTCATTTATTATAATCATTTAAAGCTGTGAATTTCCTTCTTAACAAATCTTCAACTTCATTCTTCAAATTTTAATATGTGTGTGTTTTCATTGCCATCCCATTCAAAACATTTTCTAATACCCTTCTGATTTCTTCTTGACCTGTAGATTATTGATAGCCATGTTATTAATTTTCAAACATCTAGGGGTTTCCTAGATGTACTTTGTCATGCATTTTTTTATTTTAATGTTGCTGTGGTCAAAGAAAGCATTCCGTGTTATTTCAATTCTTGTAAGTATCCTGGAACTTGCTTTATGGTCCAGAATATATCTGCTTTGGTGAATCTTCCCTGTGCACTTGGCGGAATGCATATTCTCTAGCTGTTAGAGTTAGATGTAGCATGCAAAATATTCTGAAACTTCCTCTCACATTCTTTTAGAAATCTGTTGTTGACCCTCCAAAGTTAATGATTCTGTTTGCATACTATTTCCTTCTGATCTAGTTACTTATAGTATGGTTCTCACACTCCATTCTGTATCTTCCTGCCCCAGGGTCTCTCAGACTTCATCTGATGTGCAAAACAAAGAGAAATCCCAAGCTGCTGAAGTAGTTTAGAGGCCATACACTGCTTGTCAAAAAGATAACAATACCAGCTTCCTTTTTGGTCTCTTTTGCTTTATTCTTTATGTGATATTGTACAACTGTTTTGAGAATTAAATTTTGGGGGAGTTGGGAGTCCAACCGGGACAGATAGTGTTCACTGTAAGCAAGGGATCATCTGAAGTCACCTGTGACATCTCCTCTCTGACCCAGCAAGTGGCTTGGGTGGTACATAAGATGAAATTTTCTTGCACATTGATTTTTATCATTTTTAATAGCTAATATTCATGTACTGGAAAATGTACTTTATAATAAATAGAACCGGGTTCTCCCTGGTGGCCTGGGGGTTAAAGTCTCAGCACTATCACTGCTTGGGTTCAACCCTATGCCAGGGAGCTGACCCACAATTGGCGCAGCAGACCTCTCCTGTCTCACCCACTGCTCCTCCTAGCAGTGTATTTCAGTAATTTCACCTGTTCTGCTCTCCACTCTGTCTCAGGTGAATGCTCTCATCCCAGCCCACCCCCACCTCTGGCCTGCACCCCAGTTCTTCTACGCAGAAAAATAAAAAATTAAAAAGTATAAATATATAAAAAATAGAACTTCCCTACCCAGGCTGATTTGCAGAGGTGATACATTTGCATTCTGGAAGTTATGTGATTCACATTAACATTTAAGTAAGTGAAAATACAAAGGTTCATCCTTATGGCAAAATGTGTGATTATGGTGCATAATTATGAGGTTTAGGCAAACTGGTGTGATCCCTGCTGCATAATAAAGGTTTGCTACAGCAGTGAAGAAAACCCACTTCCCTGGCTTTAAATTTTCCAAACCCCTCCAGAGACTCTCCCTCCCAAGTTCTGAGACCCCGACTCAGAGAACAGCACGCAGTTAGCACCAATCACTCACACAGTCTTCCAACGGCGCCTTACAGTTGGTCTGCCTGACCTGAGAAAGGTCTTCCCTGCCACAGGATGGGGTCTACAGCAGCTCCATGGGAGATGTTTGGAAAAAGGAGTAACTGGTCACCCCACGCTCTCCCTCCCCTGCAGTCAGCACAGAGAGGCTCTTACCTTCTCCCATTCTCGGTCCTTGTTCAGCACGATCACCACCAGCCGGGGGTGGACTTGATAGCCTTCCTCAGTGAAGGACAGGTCTTTGCCATTCCATGTCACATTGACCATAAATCTAGAGAGATGAAGGAAGAAAGACAAATGTTTAGGGAAGAATTAAGGAGGTAGCGGACAGGTGAGTAGATGCCACTGAATGTGTAAACTGATGAAGCGTAGCCTTGTGATGCTGTCACTCTTCACAGGTGGCCTGTCTCTGCAGGAGCATTAGTACCAATGCAGGTACTGCTAATTGACCGTGCATGCCTCTCCCTGAGCCTGCACTGTGCTCCCCAATTCTCTGCGGTGTTAGTAATTGAGTATTTTAGCACATGAGTAGAACATTTCTGTCCCGCCCTATCCACAGACCCACGTTCAAATGATCTTGCAGGAGGACCTGAAGGCATGTTCCATTATGCTTTAACAAGCTTCCCTAAAGGATACTGCTTGCCCATAAGCCACAAGGTACACAGCTTCAAAGAAATTATATCCCATCCATTCATTACTCATTCAACTAATTCAACACTTGCTACATGCCGGGACTCAGCCTGTTGGGGATAATAAGGAAACAAATGTGACCTTTGCCCTCATGAAGCCTGTAGTCTAAGGGAGAGAACAGGCCTCCAAGGGTTAATCATGGATCTATAACCAATGCTTACAAGACAAAGGTGGGCATCCTGTGTGAGTGAGAGAGGGGCCAGGCAAGCTCCTGTAAGGAAGTGCAGCTTGACCTGAAGGATGTGTCAACATTAACTAGGTCAGAAAGGACATAAGCTTGTTGCTGGCAAAGAGGGGAGCATATGCAAAGGTCCTGTGGTAGTGCATATGAGGTAATACATATGCTTCAGTAAGGCTGAAGCAGAGTAAGACGGGAGCATGTGCAAAGGTCCTGTGGTAGTACATATGAGGTAGTACATATGCTTCAGTAAGGCTGAAGCAGAGTAAGATGGGAGAATGTGGGGTGCAGTGTGGCTGAGAAGTATAGGTAGAAGAATAGGGGAGTATAGGTCAATGGTGCAAAACTTTTTAGCCCACACTAAGCAGTTTTGTCTTTGTTTTTGAGCAATACAAAGATTTTAAAGATTTTCATCAAGGAGATGGTCTAATCAGACTGTTACTGCATAAATGACTTAAAGGCGGTGTAGGGAATGGGTGTGGGGGAACTGGAATGAACATAGGGGGGCTGGTTAGAGAACTCTTCAGATTTAGGGGAGGGGTGATGTTGATTTGGCCCTGTCATGACCCCACAAGAGGAAGAGAAGGAGGAAAAAGAAGAACAGGAACAAACATGAGTAGGATCAAGTGGAGAAATATTTAGCAGATAGTTAGTGATGGATTGGATGGGAGGGTGAAGGAGAGAGAGGAATCAGGATGACTTCCTAATCTGTCTTATATCCATGCAGTCAAGTGTCTGCCTACATATTTTCATCACAGGTGACATGTCTGTCTCACAATATTCTCTCCTCCGCTCCTCAACCTTTCCTGCACTCAGACTGGATTCAGCTGGAGAGACACACTGGACTCAGTTGGGAAGCAAAGCCAAGCCAGCCTCCCAGGACTGGGGTGGGAAAGTCCTCAATGAGTCCACATCACCTCTGAGGTTGAGGAATATGTGATGTTGTTACAGACTTCAAAGAAAACATACCACTTAGCAGGTGATCAACAAATACATGATTGTGTATTGTAGCAATCAAAGACCTCCCCAGATAGAACATCTCAAAATCATAGCATTTTCTTGCTTTATATTCCTTTGACGCCAAAAGTAGCTGAGGTGTTCAAAAAATTAAGAGGACTAGACTACAAAAAATTCCTGAGAGAGAGACTGGCTTGATCAATGTGGGAGTGGGGGAGAATCCAGGGACGAGGTGAAGAAATTGGGGAAAAAGCAAAGGAAAGGTATTTTGCATCTTATTCAATGCACTATTGGGTCATTTAAAATCATGTTTTTGAAGACAAGTTAATGACATGGGAAAATGTTCTTTATTTGAAGTTAAACAAGCCAAAGAAGGGTAAAATGGGGCTTGAATATGCAGAAGGATTACAGATTACTTTTAAATTTTCATTGGCATATCTTTGTATTTCCCAAATCGTCCCCAAATATGTCTTATGTTTCAATAAAAATACCATTTGTTTAAAAAATGCTATTCTGAAGAAACAAAAAGTAATCACTGTACTATTTGGTTTTTTTGAGGTTGAGCTATCATCTCTGATTGTTTCCTAGAAAGGTAATTTACTGTTTCAACAATGATTTACTGAATATCTATTACATGTCAGGCTTTATGATGAGTGAGTCCTATAGACACAGAAATAGAAAACAGAGAGCTTTTTTAAGTTTTTACCCACAGTCTTACAATCCAGCTGCATAAGCAGGTAAACAATGATAACAGGCAGAAGATCATTGGTTCACGGATGGACAGTGAGTGCAAGAAGTTGTAAGAAGAAGGGTCCTGAACTCAACCCATGGGACTTGGGGAGGGCTTCAGAGGGAATCTTGAAGAGTGGCAGCACTGAGAAGTGGGAGAAAAGCATTCTGAGCAGAGGAGTCCTCTTAAGTAAAGTGAGCCAGGAGAAGGAAGTAGCTGACCAGCAGAGGGACAGTCTGGAGAGGTCCTGAAAAGCCAGATCACAAGAGACTTTGCATGACACCCTACAGGGCTTGGTCTTGTTGAGAAGGCTGTGGTGAGCCATAAAAGATTTTACATAAAGGAATGATGGATTCAGATTTGCTGTAATAAGAAGAAGTAAAGTTTCTCTGCATTTGAGGACAACTGCAATGTTTTTGTTTATGGCTAAAATCCTAGACAACCAGAACAGTTTCTTTTTTTCCTGTTCTTTCTTTCCTTGCATGTTTGCTGGCTAGTGTCTGATGAGCTAAATGGACATAGTCCAGAGAGTCTCAATAAGGAGTGCTCCATTTCACATTCCCCTGTTGAGACTTTCAAGAAGGCAAGAGAGGGCCTCCCTGGTGGCGCAGCGGTTGAGCGCTGGGTTGCGAAGCTGCCCGCGGCCTCTGCGGCGCAGGTTCGATCCCCGGCTGCTCCCCGACCACCGGAGGAGGGTCCCACATGGCGCGTAGACCTCTCCTGCCGCCCGCTGCTCCCCTCAGCAGTGTCCTTCGGTCCTTCTGCCTGCTCTGCTCCCCGCTCTGGCTCTGGTGAATTCTCTCACCCTCCTGCGCTTCTGACTGTACCCAGTGCATATATAAACAAACAAACAAACAAATAAATAAAACATGCCTCTATTAAAAAAAAAAAAAAGAAGGCAAGAGAACTGGATTTTGGTCAACTTCCTCATTATCAACCAGTCTTCAAAGTAACAAAATTGGGGCTTAATTGAACTTTTTCTTTTTTTCAAGTTGACTTTTTTATTTTTTTCCCATGATAATTTTTTAGCCTTATCACACTGTCTGGTACACTTAGGGGTGGAGTTAATATTGGTAGTTGAGCTGTTGACAGATCCTCACCAGAAGTGCCATCCACCCATCTATCCATCCATCTGTCAATACATTCAGCCATCTGTTCATCCAACAGACATGTTTGAGTACCTACTATGTGTCACTTCCTGTGCCAAGAACTGGGCTAGGGAAATGATACAAAAATAAGCAAGCACATTTCAGTTTTCATGCCTGGAAAGAAAGACACAAATAACTACAATGAAGGACAGTAAATGGAAAATTAGAGATATGTACAACTGGTGTGGTGAAGAGCAGCTAGAGAGAGTGCTCTCTGTGGCCAATTCTACTGTGAAGGCAGAGTTGGAATCCAGAGCCAACGCAGAAGATGTCTGGGTGGTATAGAGAAGGAAGAGCAGGGCTGGAGAGGAGAATCACAAGGGGGTAGGGAGGAGGCATAAAGCCAAAGGCACAGAACCATGAAACATATGATGGCACATTCTTCCTGGAATTTCAACATCAAAATGGCAGACAAAGACCACCAATGACCTTTGCCTGTGTGAGGAGAAAATCAGTTACCAAGTCACTCTGTATCTGCTGCCCCAAATTCATGTGCCAGTCAGCTCACTGAGGTTGGTTTGTTTAATTGAATCCAGTGAGCACTCAAGCCAGCTTCTGATGATTCAACACTGTAGGGTGAATAGAATTCAGGTTGGATCTACCTAATGTCCCAAATGTGGGTGGAGCTGAAACATTAGTTATCTAGAGATTTGGAGCTACCTAGTTTTCTATCTGCTTGGAAAAGACATACCTGAGAACAAATGTTTTGGCTTCTTACAGAAACCTGGCCCCAGAGGGCCATTGACAGGGTTCTACTGCATGAACGGAACATCATAGCCATCATTTAATCAAGGAATTAGCATCCAGGACCCCTGTTGAGCATCCAGGACCCCTTGGATTGGCCAGTTCACTTTACCTCAGTCTCCTTCTTCAACTTCCCATCTCTGTCTCCTCCCATTTATAGTGAATCAGATGTGATTAGCAGAGTAATTATTTAGAGACAATGACTCTTCTTCAGATGATGTGGAAACACTTTGTGGAAATTCTCATGTTCACATTTTTCTGTGTTCCTTTAGGCTCAGTATTCTAGACCAAGGAGTCCATATACTCAATGTTAATATTGTCTTTTTCTTACTTTTTTTTTCCCTATTAAGAATCTTCAGTCCCTTGGGAGAGAAAAAAAAAATAAAACTCTTACAGAAATTTTTGCTGAACAGTAATTTCATTATGAAGTTGGCAGGGAGCAAGAACTTATTACCTTCAATTCCCCTGTCCAATTTCTAGGAAAGACAATCCATATTTCTTCAGCTTCCTTCCCATTCAAACTTGCTCCAAAGCAAAGTTCTCTACCTAGGGAAATGCCATCACACACCCTATTGTTTGGACCCATTAACACCTGCTGGGCACCTGTATTAAACAGTAAAATCTCATCACTATTTTGTTTCTCTCTTGAAAATTGAGTCTAAGCTTTAGTGACCAGACAAAATATTAGAAATCCTGACTGCTGCTAAGCTTCAAAATACATCTTCAATAGTTTCCTCAAGAGCAATAAATACACGAAACCATGTTGGCAAAATGTAGAAGCAGGGGAGGTGCTAATGCTTTGCATGGGGTCCACCTGAGTGCGG